TCACGATATTGACTCTCTCAAATGAGCAATTGCCTCTTACATCGAGGAACATGAAGAGAGGAGTTTCACCACCATATTATTACTTGCTTTGTTAGCCAGATAAGAGTCTCTCAAAGAAGATGAAATTGAGGATTATTAGAGACAGAAGTTTGGGTTACACATCTAGAGGTGTCTAGACCAAGATCTATATAATGTTTGAATGATTAAAAGAGTGAGACACACACATCAATATTAAGGTGAGAACATCATAGTATGTGTTTCATACCACACATGCTAAAGCGATCAATGTATTAACTGTTTCCTATTTCTTCGTTGTGTGACACCTAGAAAAGTCAAATTAACTTCTCAATGAAATACCCTTTAACCTTTATTATTTTTTGAAATTTCGATTGATGTTGCTACTTTAGCATATTTCTAACGCCCACAGGTGATTTGGAAACGCAACCATGTTTAATATGCCAGCTGATTTAGAAAAGATAGACTCAAGTAGAAAGGGAAGATGACTAAAATGAATAATTGAACTTTAAATACACAAGCCGACTATTACACTAGAATGTAAAAGTGTATATAATGTTAAACATGAACTCAACTTCACCTCTTAAAGAGGATGATGGATCGTGTCAGTAGCTACTGAAGTTGCAAATAATTATGTAGTATTATGAATAATAATATTCTCATATGAGTAGTGAATTCTTTTCATGATTGAATTCCTATGTGGGATTTGAAAAACTTTAAAGTTAAGCTCTTGATGCTCACAGGTCGCACGAAACTATTTGTTGCATGAATTGTATAGTCAGTTGATGTTGTATTTGCTTGGGTATTATCCATCATGTGCAAAGTGAGAGATGTAAGTTTTGAATTGTGGACCTCCCGTGTGAACCGATCCGATCCGATCCGCTCCGATCTAATTCGACCCGATCCAAGAAGTTGTCTGAGAAGAGATAAGAATTAATTATCTCTTATTTAGACAAAAAAGAGGAAGAAGAAGAAGAAGGAAACAATTATTAAATTGAAAAACTTATCAACCCCTCTTTATAAAAGGATTTATTTCATTACAAAAAATAAGACAACATGAAAAACAAGTACAAAGATAACACAAACCAGAAGAAAAAAACTTAAAAAAATTTCAGTCCAAAGATAGACATTTAGTTTGTGAATTAAACTTTGTTTCTGATTCAAAGAGGGACTTTGGAGCAATCATATTAAATAGCAAAATCAACGACTTTCACGTAAATACAAGTTACACAATGTTTTATATATCTTACAAAAATATTTCCCAAAATAGCTTGTTTGTCTTTATCCCTTATTTCTAGGTATGTTAAGGTATAATTATTTCCTTCATGTCGCAGGATCATGGTGTTATTGTAATTGTTGAATTGAGTTGTCATTACTCTCTTATATTTAGGAAGACGCTGGGTTTTCATTTATTTAATTTCTATTTTTTATTAATATTGTTTGTACACTTGTTATACCTTATAACTTGATTGACGACTACAAGTCCTTTTGCTGAATTTTGCTTCATTATTCTCTTGTTGTTGGACTCTTTCTTCTTATTAGAGTTGTTATATATAGTTTCAAAGGATGACGATGATTTTGAATGAGGAGTTTATTAAAATAATTATTTCTAGTTACTTGTGGCTTGCTACGTTTGCAACAACCTATTACTTGTATTAACAACTAAGAACAAGTTGATAACACTGGGGTGTACATGACCAAATTGGTTTGAGTTTTTCAAATATAAATTAAATTATTTGTATTGGATTTTAAATTTATAAATCAAACCAACCAATAAAATTTGAGTTTTCAAACTTGGGTCTTTTTGAATGTTTCAGGGTTTTTTCCGGTAAATTATTCATACAAACATATAATTTACTTTTATTTCAAATTATATTTAATCCTACAAAAATACAATTAATGTAAGGTGTTTCGTAATAAAATAACTCAAATATGATATGATTAATGACACTAAAATCTTTGATAAATAATAATAATGAAATCACGTAAAATATGTTGGATTTAGCAAACTGTGAATGAGAAAATAGAAGAGAAAAACGAAAAAAGTGAGGGATCCAATTTGGAGGGATAATAAAATTTATTTGCAAAATGCAAATGAAAATTCATTTCTCTCATATCGGTAAAAGAAAGGAAATTGTTGTCCTTATATTAGGAAACACTTCCTATACTTCTTAAAGGGTTAATAAGAAGATGTCCCCTCGCACCATCATCGCGCAGCTTCGACTTCGGATTTGGAAAATAATGTGATTGATTGATATGTTTTTGAACAAAAATTATAATCAGTTTCTTTTCTCTTATAAATTAATTCAGAATGTTAGTTAAATTAATCCGTAACCTCGAGTACTGTGAGGGAATTACATTTCTTAAGGAGACACAGTAGTTTCTATTGACTCGGATTAAAAGTGTTTTTTCTGTCTATTTCATCTTCTTTTTGTTTTTGTATTTTTGACTAACCTTAATACAAGCAATAATAATCTTAAGAAATTTAATAGTTTCTGTATTTGAGAAATCTGGAGATTAAAACTTAATGTTTTCTACTCTGTTTGAATTTTTAAAATTCATTCGATTAACGATTAATAGAACATAACAACTTTATTGTTAAATCAGAAACAAATTGTGTAAGGATTTATTCTTTTACTGTAAGTATTTCACATAGTAAAATTGTCTGTCATTTATGACAGAAAAATGACTAATTAAGTAAATGCTGAAACAGTGAGTGCTGCAACAACATCAGTTCCACACAATCGGTCAACTGCTGCCTTAGCATCGAGTGAGAAACCTGCAAAGTTCTCTAGAGTAGACGTGAAGAGATGGCAATAGAAGATGCTCTTCTATCTCACTACGCTGAGTCTGCAGAAGTTCATTAATGAGAATGTTCCTATTATGTTGGATGAAACTCCGCCTGAAGAAGAATTCTTGGTAACAGAATCATGGACACATTCAAATTTTTTGTGTAAAAATTATATTATGAGTGGCCGACAAGATGATTAGTACAATGTGTACAACAATGTCAAAACCTCAAAAGAACTCTGGAATGCTTTAGAAAAGAAGTACAAAACAGAGGATGTCGGAAGGAAGAGTTCATTGTAGCAAAGTTTCTGGACTATAAGATGATAGACAGTAAGACCGTCATCACCCAACATCAAGAATTGCAGGTCATAATCCATGATCTCCTTGCAAATGATATAAATTTATTTAATGCCTATGTTAGAAATATTAAATTTTTTCTTACTACTCACATAATATTTAATGTAGGATTGCTTTCAAGTGGTTGTCACTATTGAGAAGTTACCTCCATTGTGGAAGGACTTTGAATACTACTTGAAACATAAATGCAAGGAGATGAATGTTGAAGATCTGGTAGTAAGGTTGAGAATCGAAGAGGATAATAGGACTGCAGAAAAGAGGTCACGTGGTAATTCTGCAATATCTGGAGTATATATGGTTGAAGAAGATCCCATAAAATTAAAGAAAATAAAGAAAGCATCTGGTCCAAAAAGCAATCCTCCTAAGAAGAAATTCAATGCAAGTTGCTTCAATTGTGGAAAACGTGGTCATAGGCTACTAAATGTCGGGGTCCCAAGAAGCACAAAAAGAAGAAGGATCAAGCAAACTTGGTTGAATCCAAAGGAGAAATGGACAATCTCTGTGTAATGCTTTTAGAATGTAACTTGGTTGGAAATCCAAGAGAATGGTGGATAGATTCTAACTAAGAATGGATTCAAATGTGTATTTGTTTGTGAAAAAGTAGTAGTGAGTAAGAATGAAATTTATGTAGGAAAAGGTTACCTTAGTGATGACCTTTTCAAACTCAATGTAATTGCAGTTGATATGAATAAAGATTCTGGTTCTTCTTACTTACTTGAGTCTAAATGTTTATGGCATGAACATCTTGGACATGTTAATAACATAACCTTGCAAAAACTGATTAACTTAAATGTTTTGCCAAAATTAGAGTGCAATAAATCAAAATGTCAAATTTGCGTTGAATATAAGTCTGATAAGAATCTTTTATAAATTTGTTGAAAGAAATTCAAATCCTTTAGAACTGATTTACACTAATATTTGTGAGATGAAGTCAACACCATCACGTGGTGGAAAAAAGTATTTCATAACATTTATTTACAATTCCACTAGATATTGCTATGTCTATTTGCTAAACAGTAAGGATGAAGCAATAGATGCATTTAGGCAATATAAAACTGAAGTTGAAAATTAGTTGGATATAAAGATCAAAATGATTAAAAGTGATAGAGGCAGAGAATATGAATCTCCATTTGCAGAAATATGTTTGGAAAATGGAATAATCGGTCAAACTACTGTTTCTTACACTCCTCAATCTAATGGGATTGTGGAAAGGAAAAATTCGAACTTTAAAAAAAAATGAATGTCTTACGTTTAAGTTCAGGTTTATCACAAAGCTTGGGGGGTGGGGGGGTGGGAGGGGAGGGGAAGCTATCCTTACAACAAATTGAATACTCAATAGAGTGCCTCACACAAATACACATGTTATTCCATATGAGAAATGAAAAGGTAGAAATTCAACTTGAAATATTTCACAGTGTCGGGGTGTGTAGCCAAAGTCCAGGTTTCTATACCTAAGAGGATAAAAATTAGGGCCAAAGAATATGGATTTGGTATTCATTGGATATGCCACAAATTGTAAGGCATGTCGATTTTTGGTTCATAAGTCTGAATATCCAAATTCATGATAATACGGTAATGAAATCAGGTAATGCTAAATTTTTTAAACATATCTATCCGTATAAAACTAGAATTGAGTCATCTAGTGTGTAATGACCCAATAGGTTATTTTTGGGAATTTTTAAATACTTGGTTTAACTTGAGTTAATTAATTGACAAATAATTGTAGATAATCGACTTTATCAAAAGCTCATGGACTAAAATAATAATTTATTTATGACCATATATTATTTATCTCATATTTATTGAAGTTAAGGGTTTATCACTTCGATACATAATTAATTTAGAAAAGAAATTAAAAAGGACGTACGAGTGCAGCAAGCATAGCCGCCATCGGTTCTCAGGTACATGCTTTGTTAAATTTCTAAGTTATAAAGTATATTATTGTGCAGTAGTATAAATAGTGATAATTTATATTATTATATTAGTATGAGATAGATTAATTATTAACAGACTTGATAGAAATTTCAATATAAATTGTAAACTCTGAAACTTGTTGTGCCGTCTTCATGATTGGCCTAGGGGACAACTTCCGAGGAAGTTATCATCAAGCAATGAGACTATAGGTGTTATATATAAATTTATATATGTTTATATATATTTAGCTTAAAGGATTAAGAATGATTAAAGTATACTGCATGCACTTTATAAATTTGTTAGTGCCGGTATAAAGTTGAGTTAGCCTTTTAGAATAGATTGGTATAGATAGGTCAAAAATGTCATGTCTATGAAAAGTTTGACTTTGAGACGAGAAAACTATCTAATGAGCATAATGATAATAAGAATTTGTAATAAAATTGTAATTAAATGCTATTATATAATAAGGATTGTTGATTAAACGAATTCTGTATGGTAATAAAGACTAGCAAGATCTATGTGGTGGTTTTCCACTATTTGGTGAGTAATGTGGTTGCATGGAAAATCTAAGAACATATAAAGGCTCTGCTCGAATAAAATTTATAGCATCTACAGTCATAATGAAAAAGTGTGGGATGTAGTGGAGCCTTCAGAAAGAGATGACAGTAAGTATATTTTCTCTTGTTGCAAAGGCTAAAGAGGTATTTTTAAAGAGTCTGAGAACTGGGTTCACAGACGCGTGATTTATTCATTTTGCATTTGTTATGATAATAATGTCACAAGTTCATCATACTGGTTTAAAACTATTGGATAAAATTTGAGAAATAAGTTTTAAGTCGTTCAGCTTGAATGTGATGATAAGTTTTCTCTGTGATTTTGAGTTTGATAATAAGTACGATTGAGTTATTAGCACATATATGATAATATCGATGGAGACGATAAATGATAAGCTAAGATACGTGAGTTCATAAAAATCTTTGAGATACGAGTTAATATTGAAAGATAAAGGGATTGGTTACACAATTGGGCTCAAATTTCAAGTTTTTCTTGGTGAGTTTAGGTTTTTCGTAGTGTGCTTTGTCGAGGTATGAATAAGTAAGATAAGAATTGATCGATTGTATCATGTATTGAGAATTTGAAAGAATATGTTCCTTTTTTACTCTCTCACTAATCTTATTGGTGAAAGAATAAGATTGGTGAGAGAGTAAAAAAAAAGGAACAAGAGCCTAGTGTATTAAAGAGTTCAATATATTAGAAATTTTGTGTCACGAGAAGAATTTAAGAAAAGTGAAGGAATAAGACCTCTACTATAAGTCATTGATAAGATTTTATTGATTATTGCCTATGAAGTTAGATATGAATGTAAGATGTGAACTAGTTTAGTACTGACTGACGAGGAGTTTATCATCGAAGTTTTATAAAGATTGAGTTTTGATCGGGTGACAAGTAATCAGGTGTGGAAGGTTTTTATGTCGAACTAGATTGTTCAAATTAGGATAGGTAGCTTATGGATGTCCGGTAGAGTGGACCTACAATTACACATGGTTAATGAGGATTTTAAGGGATTGAAACTACTTGATGGGACGATATAAGCCGTTATGATGCATTACATAGGCCTTTTATAGTGAGTAAAGGTTATGATCTTATAGTATACCAATTATTGGAGTGACCAAGAATTTTGTAAGTATTGGTATGAGATGTATGATGGTTTTGAATATTAGTTAAAATTTTGTATATGAAAATAAAAATTACGCGGAGTTGACATTGAGTGTGACTAAATTGTTGTATCTCAAATGGCAAAGTACTTTTAGATTTAGAAATAGTGTTATCAGCCTTGGGTGTGACCAGTATTTGTCATAAAATACTTAAATGGAAAGAGAGAGAGAGCCATAGTTCACAATATTATGTGTTTGCTAAGAAAACATTAATATTAATGACAGTTAGAGAGTAAGGTAAATGATTGATGTGGCTATGATGTCGTGTTAGTAATAAAAGTGTTGGCCCTAGTGAAGTACTCTGAAGAGCATATGTGGTTCAATAAAACAAGTATGTGAGTAATTATAATAGGAACTAAATTGGTGATTGTAGGTAACTAGAAAATTAAAGAGATAGAGTCATATGAATGAAAATGTTTGATGCGGATACAATAGAAGAAGTATCTAGTGTAAGTTTTTGACCTAGTAAAGTATTGTGAAGAGCATATGTGGTTCGATAAAACAAGTGCGTGGATAATTATAATAGGGACTAAATTGGTGATTGTAGGTAAGTAGAAAATTAAAGAGATAGAGTCATTTGAATGAAAATGTTTGATGTGGGTACTATAGAAGAAGTATCTAGTGTTATTTGATTTTGGTTATGTATATTTTTATATGACCATCTACTTCGTTTTGGATATGTTTTAGAGTGTATTCTCTACCTATACACACACATGCTTTCATATCTATGGGTGAATTCCTAGTGATGGATCGGATGTACCGATCTGTGATTGTTCTTCTTATAGGGTGTCATTCATCGTTAGACTTAATCAGTTCATTTATGAAAGATTCCGAGTTGTTTAAGATAGTAAAAGTATACCACTGATTCTACCCGTACAACCTTGCTTATGAGAACATATATAAGAGCTACTATGCAGAGTTGTAATAGACGAAGAGTGTTGTTAATAATTTTGCACTTTGAAGAGTATCGCTTATTGATGCTTACACAATCATTTCTTCTTTGGGTTAAATAAGTAGTACCCTCCCTGGATGTGAACCGATGTCTAAATATCATTTTTTTTTTATAATTTAAGTTAATGGAAAGATTGTGTTGTGAGAAGGAATCTTGATAATATTTGTGATGATTTATGCATTATGAGTGTGAGTGGTTGGTTAAAATCCACTTCTGGTTGTAGTAAGTAGTAATTCAATAGTCTATCTTGGTTATGTGAGAAAAGACCTATCATGATGATTGTGCTGCGCCCTAGTGGGTTTCAATTTAGATTGGGTTCATGAGTTCGTTTATGGTTTGATAATCACTCTTGATTTATATATCTTTCAAAGTTTTATTTGAAAGTTCAGTACTTAGTAGTTGATCTTGATGGAATGGTCTGAAGAATTAGCTTTACTTAGAGAGATAAACACACACTGGTAGCTCATACCTCAAGCGTTTGGTAATATCGATATTCTTTCTTCTCCTTCAATATGTTCGAGAAAGAACATGATTTTTAGTGGTGGATAATATAATGAACCAATAGGTTAATTTTTGAAATTTTTAAATATTCAGTTTAACTCGAGTTAATTAATTGACAAGTAATTGTAGATAATTGACTTTATTAAAAATTAATAAACTAAAATAATAATATATTTAAAACCATATATATATATATATATATATATATATATATGTTTCGTATGATACTCCATAAAAGACAGATACACATTCATTCAATTGTACTATACCAAATGCAGGAACTGAATACATAGGGGAAAAAAGAAAAATACTTTACCAATTGTATGAATATACTATCTTGAATTATTCTATATGTTGTATCACTCTACGCTAATTATATCAGTATGCTATCTTAAATCATTCTATATGTATCACCCTATATCAACCTATATTTCTATATTTTAAATGAATATAAGTGGTAAATGAGAGAATGAATTCAAGTGATACGATTGAATTAACTTGTATACATAAAATATAATTGTATTTATGTATCGTGAATGAATAACAACAATACAATAGTGAATAAATATAAGTGATACACTTCATGTTTCAATATTTCTTTATATCTATATTTCTATATCTAAAAGGAATACAAGTAATGCTAGATCAAATGAATACAAGTGATAAAAATGTTTCGACGTATATGCATCGAATGTGCATGTATCAACCTGCATTTATGTATCACAGATGAATACAGGCACTACAAGAGCAAATGGATTCAATATAACATGTATCAACTTGTATGTATCAGACTATATTTGTGATACAATTGTATTCATCAAGTACATTTTGTATCTAGCATCTCTCCACTTTTTATCCTAGAATTTGGTCACCTCATTCCTTACTCTCCCAGTATCACTTGTCATACTCCTTTTCCTCTCAATATCACTTGCCTTTTCTTTTTTTCGTTTTTTTTTGCTATGAATGCTAAATACCCAAAATATATCTACTATATATTAGAAAGGACAATTTCAAGTCCTTTTCAACATGTCTGTTTTCTGACATTAAATTTATGTTTGGAGGTTTTCAAGTCTTCTACAAAAATTGCAAGATAAGCTTGTTTTAAAATGTTGTATAGTTAATCTATGAACTAATGGAGTCTTATGTGTGGTAGTGGTACTTATAGTATACAAGGTGGTTAACCTATTTAGGTTGTAATGTCGTACGGAAAAGATAGGTCGAAATTGGAAGGCATCATAAGAAAGGCTAAGGGTGGAGAAGCGAAGGGTACAAACATGATCTTTTATTGTTTAATTCATATATTATGAGGTAGTATCGGGTTGACTGATGATGTTTACCAGTACGTGTGGTTGTAATGATACTACTCTTTCTATATATTTTGACATAGTCTGGATGTAGGATTGGTGATGTATCCTTAAGTAAAGACGAAGAAGTTTCGACTTTTCATTCAGCATGGTGGGAGATGTGTCTTTTGTTTAATTCGCCCCATTGTTCTGTTAGTGGCACTTGTACTTGTCAGACTAGGTCCTTGGGGATTGGTAAACTAGTTTGTATAATTTCGATGAGTTGTATTTCGTATGGGTTAATTCTTAAACTTCCTTAACTTGCCTTTGTTTTCTTTAAATTCCGCATGTTTTCTAGTTGTTGGGTTATAAGAGTTCTCCTACGTAGGTGTTAGAGTAGCTGCCTGCACGACCTAGTGGGTTGGGTCATGACAAATTGATACTAGATATTAGTTTACTGGTCTCCCCGTACAAGAGTAAAATGTGGACTAGAGTCTTATGGTGTGTTGATGTCCACATCTAATCTATAAGAGGTTAGGAAGAATTCTAGGAAGTCATTCCATTTATTTAGTCCTTTCATGCGAAATGTTGCTTGTGGTATAGGTTAAGTCTAATTAGTATCTCCCGGTTCCTATTGGTATCTTGACGATGAGGACTGACGTTGTTGATATTGTCGAAGGACACCAACAAGTTAATTGGAACCAGAAGGTTTCAAGTGGTATCTATACCTAGGGACTATAAAGAGAACCGATAATCTTTAAGGGTTATCTAGGGGAAGAACTAATTAATAAACTGAAAATTCATGTGTGTTGTATCTTGTAAAGTGTGAATGTGTGCTTTCAATTGGTGGTAACTAATGGAAAATGTGTGATTTTTGTTGTATTGATCTGCCATTGTGTATTGCATGTTGAATGATTATGTAGATATGGATACGGAAGTGTGTTAATATCTTGAATCATTGTTGAAATAGAGGAATACAGTTGGGGTGAGTAACCTGATTTAGGACAACATGTGGAGTGTCTGAAGTGGATAGAAGTAAAGTTATGGTTGGATCGCTAAAAGGCTATTCAAATTGTAATGTCTAGGTTTATCTTAGGATGTGTGGTCTATAACATTGCATATCTTACTTGGAAAAAGTTAGAAATTGAGGGGGTTTGTGGACATAGAGGCCTGGAAAAATGGATAAAAGGAAAAATGTACCCAGAAAGTCACTGGCCAGGTTCTAGTCCCACTCTAGACGCTGAAGCAGGATTCCTTCCGCTGGGGTGTTTCCGCTACAATAGGGTTATCCCGCTAAAGCGGGCAGGGAGGCAAAACCTCACCAGGATTCTCCCTGCTTTTTGCCTTTTTCCAAATACCAAGCCAAAATAGATCCAAGCCAATTCCTGCAAATAATAAGCAGTGTTCAACAACAGTAGTAACTAAGAATATTTAAAAATTAAAGTCAGGTTCCATCAGACAACTCAAAAGCAAGCATCCATGTGCTACAAAAAGGAGTCACGTAGAAAAAGAGATTATAAAATTATCGTCTTAAAGAAAAACCAAGAGGGGATGAAGGAAGGGAAGTCCCTGAAATATGGTGGCTCGAGCCATGGGAGAGTTTAGCCGGCGGATGCACAAGAGAAGATAGCCTTCACCCTCTTCCACATCTTCAGCATTAGGCAGTCCTTCACCACATCCCTCCTCCTCTCCTTGCATAGCTGACGCCGAAACATCTCGACCTCCAAGGTACAGTTGTACTTGTAAAACTAGGTCCTTGGAAGTTAAACTATTTTGTATAATTTAGAAAAGTTGTATTTCAGATAGGTTAATTCTTAAACTTCTTTAACTTGCCTTCATTTTCTTTAAATTTCACATGTTTTCTAGTTGTTGGGTTATGAGGGTTCTCCTACATAGATATTAGAGTAGGTGCCCGCACGACCAATTAATTGGTTCGTGAAAAAAATACTAATAGTCACAATAAGCAGGTGTAAAACGGAAGCTAGTAAAGCAAACCTCGAAAGACCATGAATAAGAATACAAACGAGAAAGATACCAAAAGACACAAAGATTTAATGTAGTTCGGTTAACCGATCTACATCACAAATGAGGTGAGCAATCCACTATAAATATGAAAGTACAAAATATAGAGAGAAATAACCTAAACCAATTCACTTGGAACATAATATCCACCATAATCTCAAAACCCAAGAGTATATTGTGAATGTTGATTCAGTTAGAAGTTACAAACATATATTTATAGAGTCCTAAAATATTTTCTACAAGAAAATGACCAGTAAAAACATCAAAACATTTTTCTAAATGTAAAACCTATTTATGGTAAGAAATTAGGGCAAATAAACCCAACAAATCTTTCCTTCTGCCTGAATTTTTGACAAAATAAATTTGTCCACCTTTTTCACAAAATGAATAGGATCTTGCATCTCTTCTTCATAATCTCATCACAAAATGAAACGGGTTTCTCAGGGAAGTGAAACATGGCTGAAATGTTATGCTGATTTCTCCAGAGTTTTTTTGCCAGGTACATCAATTGATCTTTTTCTTTAAGTTGTTAGCTCTTCCTGCTTAAAAGTCTTTTCCTTCTTAGTTTTCTTGCTTTTTGTTCAGACAAAAAACTGTTTTTGCGTGTCGGTGTTTTGCATAGTATTTTGGCGTAATGGTGCTTTAGTTTGCATGTGTAGACATTCTCGCTAATGGTTGTTTTGCTGTTTTTGGTATCAGCTTGTTTGTGTAAAGTTTTAGACTATTCTCCCTAATGCTATAGTGTATATGTCTTGGTATTTCTTTCCTGCTCATTTTTTCTTTTTAACATGTCAAAAGGGAGAAGGGTATATCCGCATATCATTATCATTATTGAATGAAGGTTGAGTTATCAACGCTTGTGTTTGTTATTATCAAAAAGGGGAAATTTGATGAGAGTTAGTATGAATCAATTGTATTTTGATGATAAAAATATGAGAACCAGGTACTTCTATACAGGTACTCGGAATAATCAAATTGCAGTTATTTTGGAAGATTCAAAATACCAAGGCTATTTAAGAAAAGCAGCGAAATAAAACTTATTTATGGATATAAAAGACTAGCGCAGAAAAAGGCAAAACCTTTCCATAAAAGAACTCTACGTTCATGCCCAAGAAGGACTCTATTTTGTCACGCGTCTTTTCCAAAAAGGACAGTTTTCACGCGTACAAATTAACAGAGTAGACAAATCCTTTTCCTAATAAAAGATGATATCAACAAACATTTTTGTTATTAACTTGTTGACGAAGCGCCTATATAAACAAAGATATACAGCTAGAGAAAAGTAGTCTTTACAATCGAGAAGAAAAGTGAGAGAAAGAGAGAGAGGCAACAAAGATCGTCTTGTGAGTTTGTGAGTTTGTGAGCTTGTGAGATTGTAAACAGGAAGTGGGTTTTGACTTCTTGTGGAGTGAGAGTGTTTGCGAGTTTTCTAGCAAGAAGTGGATTTGGCTTGTTGTGAGTTGAGAGTACGATTAGAGTTAATTGAAAAACTGTAATTGAGTAAGAAATGTTAATAAAACAAGAGTTGAGTTTTTCCTTCCTTGAGTGAGGAAGGTTTTATACAAACGTGTTTATTTTATTGCTTTCTTCTTAATCAAATTATTTAGAACCTGGTTCTTGATATAGGGGTAAGGTTTTATCAGTTTAAATTTTGCAAATCTTTATATTTGATGTGGTAAGGTGACAAAATTAAAATCAATTTGTTCAATTCATTTATTTGTTATCTCAATTTGTTTTATCTAAATTCATTTCAATTTAGTAAAATTGGGCTGATATGTAATCCAAATTCATTAATGAAATTTGTTGTGAATATATTTTAGTTTTTTTAATATATAGTGATAATAAAAAAATTCTTTTAGTTTCTAAAATCTTTTTTAAATCCAACAAAAAAAATAATTAAAACTTAGTAAAAATTGAATCGATTGGGTTGTGACCCATTGCCTTACCTATTTTGACCCAAGTAAATTTTTGTTGGGTAAGATCTTGACTCATTTTGACTTGCCAAATTTGATTCACATGACTCATTCAAATTTGACTCAACCTGCTCAATTGTTTGCCCAAATTTTCTGTATATTTGGAATCAGGTTGCATTTCGATTCATTAGGTTACATTATTTTAACTCATTTTGATCCTATAATTCTCAAGTTATCGTAATATATATATTAAAACATACTCAAATTTGACCCAACTAGAAAGTAATCATTCAAACTTTGATAGTTTTCACATTTAAACTCATCAACTTGATATCAACTGACAGCTTAACACTCTAACTTACCTTCATTGTGTCTATTGGATACACTACACACATGTGAAATATAAATTTCAAAGGTGTCTAAATGATCATTTGTAAGTTTGTGTACCTAGCTGACATGATAAAGACGAGTTAAGATGTCGGAGATATGCATACTCAAAGTTAAAATTATTTACTTGCTAACGGAGATCAAACATGAGTAAATTGATTGATTTACTGAAAATGTATTGATTTTGTCACGTCAGGTGATAGATCAGGAGCCAACATTGCTCATATCATCATGATGCGAGAAAGTATAGATGAAGATCATAAACTTAGTTGGAGATAACTTGAACCTCGCTGGAATGGCATTGATTCACCCCTTTTGGTAGTATATTTGCCCTGAAAATCCCAATACTGATGATCCTCGATGAAATCTAGCTGCACGTCCCAGTTTGCTATCCGAGCTTTGTTGCTCCAACATTCTGATATGCACTGCAGAGAAGGATTTTAGAAGAGACAGAGGTTGGACATACTATGAGGCCTTTAAGAAATGTGGATGGAAAGGTGAAGTGGAGATCAAGGAAACACAAGGGGAACACCATGTTTTTCATTTGAATAACCTAACTTATGATAAAGCTAAGATCTTGATGAAATGGTTGACTGATTTCTTTCAACAAGCAAGCTGAATGCTTGCTGTGTGTGGGGAATTTTTATTGAGAACTATCAAAACTTTGCTAACTCTTATTCAATTTTATCAAATGAGTAAATTATATATTATTTTTATGATCCTTTCATTAATAAATATTTGCAATTACATATTATTATAAATGTTTCAATAGGCTTAAGTTACTAAAGATTCTCTAATTTTCTAAAGGGAAACGTACAATAAATATACTATAGTAAGAAATATATACCATTTATATTAATAACATTTCTTTTCACTTGATAACTTTAAATACAATTATAATTCAATTTTAATATATATTACAGAGAATAATTTATAAAACACATATAATTCAAGTCTGATTAATAAATAATACATTTATCGCATATTATAGTACATTTATAATACAATGTGTCAAATTCTTATAAAATAGGCATAATATATTTTAAAACAATTATAATGCATATATATTACATACATAATTGACTTTTCATACATATTACAAATTTATCATAGTATTTCTATATATTGCTATAGATGGCAATAAAGTTAAGGTCTTGATCTGGCTGATTTCTTTCAACATCATGTTAAATGATTGCTGCGTGTGAGAAATTATTGAAGTCAATGTTGCCTTAGATTGGTTCATTGGAACCATATGATCCGTATTAGTGGTTGTCACACGGGAATATTACTTCACCTAAATTTTATGCAAGAGGTTAGCCAATGTGACGACAGTCAAGCCCCAGTCAACTCAGTCCTTTTCACAACCTATTCTGCCTAACGTTCAAGGACATTTTTTTTCTGCCTTAGATTATTTTCCAAAACTTTAACAATGAAATCAACACATAAACATATGGGCAAACCCAACTTTTATATTAATAATCAAAACCAATACAAAGGATTCACTCGTTGGAACAACAATTATATGAAACTTAAACTTCGACTTCAATTTAAGGCACAATCACAATTCGATTGCTTCCTTAGACACCTTTTCAAAAACCTCACCTTTTTAAGTGTCTTGGTAACATTCCAGACTTAATCTTCTCTCTTTCACCCTTAGGGTAACAAACCTATGCCCAAAACTTCCAACACACACAGGACTATTCATTTATAGAACATGTGGCAGCCTTGTGTGTTTATATTGTATAGTGTTGTGACACATGTCTAAAACATTTCAAACATTCAATCCACTAAATTATATTTCATTTGACATCCCCAACTGATAAGAAACAATCAAATTTTGAATTCAAAAAGCATACAAAAGATAAAATGAATCTGGACCAAGCGGTTACAAAAATGTAACTGCCGCATGTGCTTGACATGTGACTTGACTTGACTGGATTTAGGCCCTTTGCTGCATTTTCCTTCCATATATTTGTCTCCAAAACAATCTCTAAACATTCTATATTCATGATATCATCAAAGTCCACCCGAATCCACCCGCACATTTTTCATGCATGCACACCACCGAAGCTGCCACTGCCTTGCTTTGGCCATGTTAACCTTTAGCTCACTCGTGCCATTTATTATTTTCTTGCTGCGTTTCATTAACATTTACTATGATATAATTTAGCTCTACTCAATTTTCCCGCATTTGACCAGACCATGTGCTTTTCGCATACAAAATTGACAATTTTTTACATAATATTTTTTTATAATTACCAAGTCTTTAAGGATGAATTTATCAAAGAAATTTACAAAAAATAATATTTTAATTTTTGTTAATGAGACAAAGTTATTATAATTTTTATTTTTTTCTAAAAAGGAATAAGAACAAGAGTCATTGAATGGAGGACCCACATGCTTACATGAGGGCATGAATACCAATTAACTTTGCAAAATATTATATTATATATATATATATATATATATATATATATATATATATATATATATATATATATATATATATATATATATATATATATATATGTATGTATGTATGTTATGCCGTAATTTTACAATCTTTAGAAAAATCACTTTTTGGAATGTGTCAAGTATAATACAATTTGAGAAAAATACTTAGAAAAGAGTCGCCACTTAAATTTTTAAAGAAATTAAGAAAACTTAATAAAAAAAACTCTAACAAATCAAGTCTTACAAATTTAAAAAATGGGTAGGAGGTTCTTATTTAAACTTCAAAAAGATTATTAAGGCATTTAAAGCGTCCGCTAACTTGCGGTTGTCCTACGACTTAGATAACTATTTTGACTATATTTAGGAAAATGACTTAACTTGAGAAAATAGATAAACAAGGAATACTTTTTAATTTTTAAGAAAAGAAGATATTAATTAAAATAATTGAATTAATTGCAAATGATTAATACTTTAAAAAAACTAGATTAACTAGAATTATTTTGTTTGAATTGTTTTAAATGATAATTGGAACTAAATTAGTTAATTTAAGCATGAAGATATTTCTAATTAATTAATTTTTTTTGACTAAAGATGTTAAATTAATGTATGAGAGTTGATAAAAAAAAGGAGTTAAAATGTACCAACATAAAAGGACATCTTTCATCTTTTGGGATATTTAATTAAGATAACCCTAAAGTTAATTAGCAAATAAATTAGTAAGGTAAGGCAAATTAATAAATTCAAATAGAGAGAGTGAAGGAGGAAGATTTGGGACTTTCTGATCTTGGGCTTTGACCCCATTTATCTGTCCTACACTATTGTAAAGGTTGCGCAAATATCAGATGGGCTTTGCCCCAACTTCCATATAAAGTTGCCTGAATTTTTTGGGGCTTTTGGCCCATTTCTGATTTTCGTATATAGATCGTATATAGTATATCAGTATATATAACTCTGTTTTTAAACACTGAGACTTGTATTTTTGTCTTCGACTTGTATATCCACAGTTTGGAGCTATATTTCAGCACCTTGACCTGTATATCAGTGTATAAACATTGTATACAACATATATACAACCCATTCCTTTGTCATTTGAACTAATTTCCAGCAACATGTTGGAGCTTGTAACAAGATTTGAATATATAGGAAGGGGTCTGACTCGATGGAAAAAATGTGAAAGGAGGAGTCCAAGAGACTCGAGGAGACCTAAGTAAATGATAAAATTCCTTAATAAACTAGGTTATAAGGTTTAAGGATAATTATTTCAACAATTTGTCTACCACCACAATTTAACCGACAAACACATTACTATCAAAGAGCTAATGTCTTGACATTTTAGAATTAATCATAAGGCAAATAAAATTATAACTTAAAGCATATAAGAATTGAGAAAATTTCATGACGAATATATACTTCTCATAATGAATAGGAAAGTCAATCAAAGGATATCTTTATAACGACCGATCATGACATAAGGACCATTTGAACAACAATCAACACTTTAGAACTATGTAGTAATTAACAGAGGAATAAAACAAATTTAGTAGCTTTGGAAACTATCACGCATTGATTTCAATATTTAAACACAGTGAGCACCAAAATGACAACTTAAGAATTAGATTTAACGTAGGATCCCGAAAGGTTACCTTCACATGCCTATCCCGAATGATAAAATCATATTATCAAGCATCAATAATACAGTATACAACTCATTTAAGTAGAGATGTGACATTTCATGCAAAAACAATATCATAAACGTAAGGCAACAAGATAATCAAAGTAAAAAACATTAGTACCATAGCAAATTATAACTCTCTAATAATATTTCAATATAAAAAACATTTAAACAAAGTCTATAGTGGAGTCATGATAAGCAAGGAAGGACTAATGTAAATAAAGCATTAAAAAAAAGAAAAAAAAACAGATCACTACAATGATATGAGAATCAACACAATAAGAGTAGTAATAGCTTGATACCAAATTTCCAAAATTCAATATATACTGTCATGCTTGGAAACAAAAGGCTATTAGCTCAATGAGAACGAGAAATTTATTTCCTATTTGGAACTAATGAAAAGACAAACAATGACTGGCAAAACTCTCGTACTTATAATAGAAGATCAAGACTTAAACCAGCAAAGGAGGTATAATATTGAATAAGCTATACCAAACATCAAATTACGATCAGAATAGTAAAGAACATAAATAAGATGAAGAAGTATACCTTTTTTGGAGAATCCATTGGGGCGACGAACTTCAAAGTAGCGATTTCCACACCTCAATTCAAATACAAACAACAAACTAAGAGACCCCAAGAAAAATCTAAGTGACAAATTTCTCAGAATCTAAGATTAGAAAATCGTTTTATAATGTCAAGTGTAAAACAATTATTGCTTCAAAATCAAACTCAAAAGACGTCAAAATCCAATTTCAAAACCTCTGTTTTTATCACTGAGGGTAGAGGGCTATTTATAGGGAAGAAGAGCTGGTTTAGGGGGGAAATCCATTAGATAAATTTTGAATTTCTTTCCCCCTTTCCAAGGCCAACATTGAAAGAGATTTGAAGATCTCTTAAAAAAGGGGAAAAGGGAACAATGATTTGATCGATTAGGTTGCTAGGGTTATGGGTTCTGCAGGGTAGTTGGATGAGGGTACTAGTCTCTTCGCATGTGATCATGGTTTGTAGAATGATTTGCTCGCTGGATTTTACTTTTGACTGTCGCATAAAGGAGAAGAAGACGCAGAGTCGCATATTGGTCTTATATGTAGCTGCAAATTGTTGTTGTATTTGAATGTGGTTGTGCCGGGCAATCATGAAATCAGAATTGGGGTGAGAATATGTATGTTTGGGGCGTTGGGCTGATGGAAATTTGTAAAAAAGCCCAAAATTTTGGTCTCAAAATTGAGTCAAGGTGGGGGATAGAATAAAAGGAAAATTACCATTTGAATTTCAATTAAAGCCAATTGAAATTAAGAAATATAGCCAATATGAAATTAAGTAACAAAATAGGCTAAAAATTAGGTAAAATGAATTAGTATAATCAACTAACGAGCTTCTTAATCGTAACAAAAATTAAACAAATAACTCGATTATAAACTAATAACTCAAAATTATAAATATAGCTTACAGTAAATTAATAAAATATTTAACTAAAGTGTAAAATATTTGTGATGATTTTTCAAATATTTATCATATAATGGGATTGTAAATATATATATATATATTTATTATTTAAATTAATAAAATTACTTTGAAAAT